CAGTTCTTCCTGTTATCTGTAGTGTTTTATTGAAACTCGTTGTAATGGTTGAGTAGGACTTGGGGTTTGTGAAATCACACAAACTTGTCTGGCATTGTTTTTGATGATTGCAACCTTGTTGTGTTAGCTAGTTTATACTTGCTATCGTGGTTATAGCGAAATCTCTGATAGTGCTGGTTCTTGACCTATGAAAAGTGATGAGATTCCTACCATTTTAGTTGACGGTGTAATTCGTTGTTCTACACATAATTCTATCTGATGTTGTTGATTTCGCTGTTATTGTACTTGCTTCACTTGATAACTCTGATAGGTTATCAAAAACTCAACTTAAATATTTAACACTATCCATTTAATAGTAGAACATTTTATCGTCCAGTTTTATCGGACAATTAAATACCTGTTCCTTTCCAGCCCATCATAAAAAAGAGTGATAATATTAAGTTAACATCTCATTTATTGGCATTGTGAACCATTAAGACCATGGTTCAACAATGAAGGTGCTAATTCATTATAGTTGATATGCTAAAGGTATTCGTGCTTGTGTCATTAACTTACTACTATAAAATAGCATGTGGTTAAAAATTAACAAGAACAAACTAAAATCATACGTAAGGAGTTGCTCCAACAGTGTTTTGCTAGTTACAAACTATGGTGGCACAGATACGTGTAATAAATACTTTTTGGGAAAAAAATCTGTCTTGTATGTCTTTCATTATTTTTCAACCCCATTACGCATACAGAAAAATTTGACAATCCAAAATTACAAAATAAAAAAAATCGCAAGTCCCCACAGTACTTAAACCGAAACTTTTTTATAGTCTCAGTAAAAATGTATCACTTCTTATAAATATTAGACCATATCAAGCTGTAACTCGCACCATATGAATATAGAATAGCAATTATTGATATACGAGTATATGTAACGTTAATTGTAAACTTAAAAACCTTCCCTGTTTATAGTCTTTACACAAATAGTTGTAAAAATATTATATTAGGTTCATCAAGATTTTTGTAATGCATTGAAGAAAACATCGTCAATCTTATAAGTTATTTCTTGATCAGCTCGACACGTTGAGTTCATTTACCTTTATCCGTCTGTCTGTTTCATTCTAAACTACTCTCTCAGTTTCTGATGTATTGATATAAAATTTTACGAACTTATTTTTGGACAAACTTCTCTGTTTATGTGTCGGATTACACAAAATCAGATTACCATATCACTTATATGAGAGGATATATAGAATATGAATATATTATTATATTATTACTCTTAGCTTCTGGGCTAAGAGTATGTCTCCAAGCCTTGTTGCATCAATAAAGAGTAGTATAGACCCTACTTTACAGAGTTTAATTGTCTCTTCCGTAAGGATATACATTCCCAGGAGTCTATTCCATATGGGGATTAGGGCAAGGCATTCTAACTTTATTCTCTTCGCAAAATCTACAGTTTGCATCCGTATATATGCCCAGTCTTATCAGGTGAAATTTCAGTTTACAGTTTCCTGATGATTCTAAGTTTTTCTTCTGATAAGTCCATACAATCCTGGTATCTTTTCTATTGTTATTGTTATATCACCAATAAGTGATTTAGATTGTTTTAATCCTGGCAGATCATAACAGTAAACCTTTTTGTTCCGATTCTTCTTATTTTATGAGAGAAAGGAGACTACTGTCTTCTAATCCACAGAAATGTTCAGATGTTCGTTTCCGCATACGCCAGTATGTCCCGGTATCCAGAGAATATATGCATATATATTTATTATAGAAATACGAAATTTTATTTATATCGATGTTTATTTGAATATATTTGTCATATATCTAACAAAAGTTAGATATAACATTTAAAAACTTTAATATTCCCTAATGTATGTACTTAAAATTTGGTATTTAAATATAGTTCATAAAATGGAAAGATCGAAAAGAGTAAAAAAACTGAAGTTTGTCACATTGATATGGAATAACACGTAAATTTTGATGCAACGAAATGATTAAACAAACATCCACAACAAAAACTATTTTTTTTTTATATATTATATTGTATATGTTTTATTTCCTATTATACTATATATATTGTCATATATATAAATGAGACCTTAATGTAAATTCAAGTTTCTATGCAAAGGGTATCTAAACTTCGGCAAAGCCAGACCTAACATTTCTACATGTTTTCTTTTTAATTTCAAACTAAAGGGTTTCTAATTGGTAAGAGTTAACCTAAAGCTTTGTTGTGCTTAAACCTATTTGGATTTAAGATATAATATGTCTGCAACGGATTGCTTTAACTAAATCGCTAATGTAATTTTTATGCATGCAAATACTTTTAATGGACGAATAAAAAGTGACTACTATAATTATCAAACTAAAAAGAAAATATAAAATAAATTAAAAAAAGAAAACAAAATTTATTGCACATTTTATTGCAATTTTATATTTCACATATACATTTTATTAGGTGCACATTAACCTCAGACCAAACGTGAAGGAACTGCAAATAAATTTCTTCACCAGTAAAGGAAAAATAAAATCTTAAATTGTTTGAGTTAACCAATGAATAGGATGAAGTTATAAAATGCATTACACACATAATGTGTTTTTATTAACCATACCATCAGCCTTTTACACATTAAAGCCAGACTTAAAAGCATTTACAGCATATGGTAATAAATTTATAAATTTAAATTCAGTTTAATATAAAAATATAAAAAAAAATGTGAAAAATAATTTGTGACTTAGAACCCAAGAAAAACTTCATTAATATACATCAGGTCTAAGTTGTATACATTACTTAAAGCTATTAATATTGAAAAAATGATACAGTTAAAATCTTTTTGTACTTTTAATTTCTTATAAATAAGTTCCACATAAATAAAATTGTACAACTAATGTTAAGTGCACTCTTTTCGAATTGATTTAAAGCCCATAATATATTTTCCAAAATTTTGTTAGCTTATATGAATATTTAGGTAAGAGTTTTCAATTGTCGGATTCGCCGAAAACGAACAAATAATTTCTATAGCTGCCATATGAACTGAACAATCGGATATAAGTTTTCTCTGGTTTTTAATAAATATTTGCAATAAAATTTGATGCGAAATATACTCATATAACATAAGGTACAAAATATTATAGGATCGGTTCAGATTTAGATGTAGGGGTACTATATAAGTAATTTAGATACATGTTACTATTAGATGAACATTTTTATTTGCTAATGTATATATTTTCAATTTGAAACTTAAGCAATATATGTAGATTGCAGTCTGGATAATTAAAATGGGATTGATTCATTTATATATAGATATAGCTCGCATAGAAACCAATGATTTATTAAATAGAAAAGAAAAAAAAGTTTTTATTCTTTATGCTTCTAATTTCTTTTTCGCTTCTAACTTGAAATTTGGATATCTGTTGTAGAAGGCAATGTTCGTAGTAAAAATACTATCGATCGATCCAGATTTAGATATATTTGTTTTATTTTTTATTTATTATACACAAATATTTTACACCAAATTTAATTTAAATATTATTACTTATGTTTTATATATATGTATATCGCAAATCGCACAACAAATTAAAGCAAATTAAGATTTTATAACATGAAATCTCAAACAAATTGTATGAAACATATAGAAGCATTTCCCATTATTTCCTACTTTCTACTAGTATTCTACTCTATTTCCTTAATACTACTATTATTCCTATTAGTTATTATATTGTTATTGAATAAACATAGGAAGCATAGACGCTTGTTATTACAGGACTTGAAGGCATAGGTCTATGAGATATAACAACACTGCTAGTCTTAATAAAATTTTGACCATGATCTGAGCAATGAACACAGGAAGCAAGAACAATGTGATAAACTAGAAATTAAGCCAGTTTTTGGAATATCGTTGGCACTACGAAATTATCTTAAGTATATTGATCAAATTTTTTTAGCTAAATAGATTATCATCAAAATGATTTTAATTTACGGAGCCAAATTAGCTAAATATGATAGATGATGTATAACAATAAAGCTTTTTGTGATAGTAAATTAAGTAACAAAAAAAAACCAAGTGCTGGTTCTTGATATTCCAGTTGCATTCGTGAAATTTTGATCCACAATCAAGATCTTAGATAATGTTCTGCGCTCACAGTCCGACCTGCTGGGATAAATTTACTGTGAACAATTCAAAGAAAACGATCAGTACAAATTGAATCAAGGAAAGCGGTCAGCATAACCTTGATTTCCTTTTTCTGAATGCTGGGATTTCACTTTTTCGCTCTCGTTCTTCTAGCGAGAAGATTTTGTTTTTGGCTTATATTGGAATCATCACGTTTCAAAATCAATTCCAATAATCAATATTTTTGATAGATTCTATTTGAACATTTTTAATATGTACTCACAAATCTGAACTATCCCGAGTTTCTGATTGTCCGCTGGAGTGTGCGAACACTCTTTCTCTTTTCTTTGAATAAATCTTCCTTTCAAATTCGATGGAATGTGCTTGTTAATGTTTCTGTTTAGTTTTCGATGAATTACGCAGATACACAAAAGTCACTTCTAATAATTTTTTTTTCCTTTAATGTTGTTTTTTTTTCATTACGAGTAGTTTTTAGCGTTGGTGCTTGAACATTATCTTCTTGTTTTACAGAATAAGCCAAACTAATGGAAAATCTGTATGCGAAACATGCACTCGTTCACGTTTTTTAATATTTCAAACGATTTTATCTTATTTAAAATAGAATATTTTTATTGCTCTTTGGTCTTTGCTGTTTTTCCGATCGATTTACACAAAGTGAGTTTACAAGTGAATAGTTAAGTCTTACAGTAGTAAGTATACACCCAATCTCATTGGAACTGTGAGAGGCTGAGCATATATTTCTGATACTAGGACAAAGACATATCGTCATAGTATACAGAGAGAATAAAAAATTTCCAATCTAGTTAGTTATTAAAAAAAGATATAAAAAAAGATATTACTTTATTTTAAATTTAATGTAGTTCAGTTAAAATAAATTTTGTTTAGAATAAGTTACTCAAAATTATAAATTTAAGATACTCAAAAATGTAAAAATAGAAGAAGAATACAGTGACTAAGAGAAAGTTTCTGAAAAAGAACTTTCTTATATCACAATACTTATAATGTCGATGGTATAATGTATACTATAAGACTAATTAAAAATAACGCACACAATTATTCCTTAATTTAAAACTTAAAATATGTGGTTTGTATTATATATAAAATAAAGTGTTTGCAAAGGGATTAGAATTTTCATGCTTGGAAAATTGCCTCATGGTAAGTTTTTGAACTTCTCAAGACTTATTCGAATCCATTATTAAACTTTCTTGCTGATTTTTCTTTCAGTTCAATTGGATTTGAAATTATCTGAACATGTGTGAGTCTTCCTAATATTGTTCCTACAGTCCATATGACGTATTCCAAACATTTTAAAATATTTTTACTAATATTCTAAAATTTTTTATTTTTTGATAATCCAAGATTTCAAAGATTTTTAACAAGTATTCTTTTCGTTTAAGGAAAATTTATTTTATTTACCTGATTTGACATTATTGAGATATTAACTTGAATTACTTAAGCACTTGGTGAAAATTCAACTTATTTGATTAATTGTCATTTACTTATGACTTCACAGGTAATAGAATTAATTTAGTAGAATTTTCATATTCACGATACTTAGAAGATATTTTTTTTTCTGGACTTTTGCAGAATTTCACTGCAATAACCATTTGCTTTCTCTGTGGAACTCATCAAATACTGGAAGCATATTCGTCTTCTCATAAAATCTGGAAATAATTTTGAAACTACTAGGTATATATTACTTCAAATGTTTTGAAATTAAATAATTGATGCATATTCCAAATGTAGATTTAAACTCTGAGTAGTGAGTGTTAAAATGAGAAGACAATAAGTAGCAGTTCAAAGATTCGTTGACCTTTCCGTAAGATAAGCACACGGAACTGTTAGAAGAACCAAGTATTCTCAAAATTTAAACCCCGAATTGTCGTTTTAGGAGTGTGATAGGTTGTGGTGGCAAAACTTATTGCTTATCAAAATTTTCGTGTATTATTATATTGCATAGTAATGTTTAATAAGTGAATAAAATGTGTATTAAACACAAGCGCAGTATTTTATTTCAAATGTTGAATAAAATAATAAGATATATTTCTTATTTATATATCATTTATATTTTATTATATCTATTAAGTTCATATCTATCAACCACACTAGTAATTAGATTTTTAACGAATTTAGTGGTTTAGTATACGAATGTTGGGAGATAGACTAAAAGAAGAAAATAAAAAGATTTCATTTTTCTAAACTATTCTGTGCAAGACTTTATTAACAAGGTCCAATGGTATAAGTTAAAACGTCCTTTCGGGCATATGATTTATTATTTGAACGATTTTGACGATTGTAATTTCAGAGAATTAACTTATAACATAGGTCAGTCTACTTCATATATATGAGTCTATATAATCTTCACATTTGTTTTGCTGCTTGGATTTCCAACATCATGTGGAGTAGAATGTTTTACTGAATATCCTACAATTGTGTCTATAATTCCAACATCAAATCAGTGCTCTTTTATGGATGTAAGAAGTAAAAACGCACTACCGTCTTCAACACACGTATAAGAACTGTTTTCAACAAATGTGCTTCTCAACATCTGGTAGTAATCGTATCAGCAATGCTGATCCTTAGGGTATCACCAACTAATTGTCAACTTCTGAAGAAGTTGAGTAAGTATTGGATCAGTTAACCCTTCGCAGACCCCCTGGTAGCACCCAAATGGAATCCCATGGGTAGTAGCCGTCGTGTTGGGACGCCTGCTAAAACATGGCAAAGGACTGTTCATTTAATAAAACTAATAATGATGATAAGCATAGAGCTCTGTAAGTTTATCAGTTTGGAGTTAAAGTCTTAAAATAAAAAACAGGAGAATTATTATTTTTCTTTATTTTTATACATATTTTGTAATAGACCAGTTTATTTTATTTATCGTTTCTTAAAACAAAAGTACACATTTTATATATGATTTTTATCCATTTAATTATAAAATTAAATGGAAGTACAAGATTATATCTATTAAGTTCAATAAAATAATTTCATAAGAGTATTGGTGTTATTTATTTGTACTTGTAAAGAGAAAAATAAATAAAATAAATTAGTTTAAATTGATTTTTTTGTTTGACCATCAATATCAGACTTGACTTCAATATCAGATATTGTTGATTGTTTTATATTTTTCCCTTTTATTGCATTTATTTTAATATTAAAATCTGCTGAATTCACAAATTTTCGCAATCTGCGACCAAATCCAATTCAGCTTGTCCCTTGCTGGCGCTTTGGGTCGGCAACCTTCTTCAAACAGCAAAAATTTGTTTAAAAACGAAATGGACATGTTTGTACTCAATGGAGACCCATTTTATTGGTTTGATGTAGGTCAACTGCAATCGAAATTGATAGGAGTTTCTGTTTTTTACACTATTTTTACGCTTGTATTTTTTGTAGATTTGCCAAAAAATCGTTTTTCTTATCTGCTGTAAATAACGACGATTATCATTGATTTCTTGTTTGATGGCCATGTCATTTATTGAAAAGTGACATTTCCAGCAACACATTCTTACAACAATACTGCTGGTATCTTCCTGTGTGCGGGCACATTTGCCACAAATGTCACGTTTCAATGGTTTCCGGCCACTTATTGTGCGATTCTAATTCAATAAGTGACTTTTATGTTACTAAATGAAGTTCTCAATAAATGCCAAAGCAAAGTTAACTGAATTACGCTTTCAAGTGGAGTACTGAAGTGCTGGAGCAAAGAGTGGATCCCGCAAATTATGCTCGTATGGCGCTGTTCACGATATGCCTGATATGGTACATTTTAATATAATGCCATTTCGGGTATGCAATATAATAGCCATCAATATTGGCCAAATAAAAATTATTGTGATAGAAAACAAAGGAAATTAATCACTTCCACGCTTCAAGTTATATTTACGCTACTAAGAGCTAATAGTTTTATGCAAATTTCTGTTATTGAGAAAAGTCGAAAATTCGATTGTTGAGTAATTATTTTAATTCAAGCCCTTAATTCCATAACACGCAATTTTTCCAGAAAAATTTTCTTTATTGTGATTTTTTCTACTTCATGTCGGTATACCAAATGCTGATGATTTTTAATTTGCATTGCAGTAACCACCACTTCAAATCTCGAGCTACTCTCAGCTCGAAAAACTTAAAGAACAGCACGTGCTTAATTCTTTTGCTGGTAAAAATGCATGAAGCACTTCTTCAAATTGCTCTGAAATTAAAAAAAAAATAAAATTTGTTGTATTTATTCATTTCAGCCTTAATAGAAACTGACACTTAACAAGTCTTAAATCAGTCAAATCAAATGCAACACTCAAGTGTCTCTTAGGATTTGTTCTGTCCCACAAAAATAGATTTCATTGTGCAGTCTTGAGTGTAATGCTATTTGAAATTCACTTTTATATACTATATGTATGTATATGAATATATAATATATATGTGAATATATATGTAAGTGCAGATATATTGCTAATTATGCAGACACATTGACGATGAACTCACTTAGAAGCAAATAAGGGCACTCATGGAAATAAAAGAAACACCGCAAAAAATTTACGACGAGCTTGTATTTGCATCCTCTGAACTCCTTTCACAAGGAACCTGTGCCATTTTATCCTTTTTTAACAATTTCACTAAGTGAATTAATGCAATGTCAGGTATTACTGGGGGCAAGTGCAATTCATTGAAATGTTGCACTTGTACAATTAAATTCAATGGAATTCTTTATTTAATTTAAACCGAACAGAGGTGAAATAATTGGGTTAAAATAATTTTCGGAGGTCTTTAAATATGTAAAAAATTTAAAAAATTGGTTTAAGGGGAGTATTCTCAAAATTAAACTTAAAATAAATTTCTATGTTATTTAATTTGTAATCACTACTGGGACAATATACCAAGATTAAAATAATCCATATCACTTATTGGTAGCTATAACAACAAGAGATACCAGGATTGTATGAACCTATCAAAAGAAGAACTTAGACTCATCACAGGAATCCTAACAGGGCACTGTAAACTAAAACACCACCTCACAAAACTGGGTATACTTACGGATGCAAACTGTAGACTCTGTGAAGAGAATGAGGAATCGGCAACACATTTGCTATTAGAATGCCCTGCGCTAATGCACATACGAAATAGGCTTCTAGGAATGTATATTCTTACGGAAGAGACAACAAAACTCTATAAAGTAGGTCCTATACTACTTTTTATTTGACGCAACAGGGCTTAAAGACCTACTCTAAGTCCAGAAGTGGGCACAATAGACCCGACGGTCGCAGTGCCACATCCCCTAACAATACTCATAATAATAATAATTTGTATTCAACGCAAAAAAATATGGTAAGCGGGTTATATCCCTTGCTTAATTTCCTATTTAAATCTTCATAAAATTATGCAGTTTTTTCACTCAAATTTTGTTCCAAATAGTAAATTTGTTATATAATCAATAAATTCATTAACTAAAGTACTTTATTAAAATTCTTACATCCAACTATACTTAGTAAAAACTGTATTTTTTACTAGACACATAAAATAATAGTCCTATAACAGTTTCAAAGCCACATCAACTTTTTATGGATTCAATAGATTCTTGGTAATTACTTTTGGATTGTTGACTTATACACTGTTCCACATCTGCAAATTTTGTTCATTCATGTATCTATCATGCGAAAACTGACTCTCATCACTGAAGAAAATTCAACACAAATGTAACTACTATAGAATCATTATCTTTATAATAAATTTTCATATTGTAAAATGGCAAACCTCTTACGAAACACACTATACTTTAATGTATATTTCTGTTTAATATATATAAGTTAAATAACACTAAAGTTGTTGTGTTGTTTCTTAATGCTTGTCGATATGCATTGCTTTGCACAACGTAGCTCTGCGTAAAGTAGCAGTATCACCGCTTAGTAAGTTTCTTCTCCAGTTATAATTAGCACATGCAAATAAAATAAAATGAAAATCTGTTGTGTTACTAAATACTATTCGAGTTCATTAAGTTACCTTCCTATTACAAGTATTATATATTACAATTTTTTGCAATGTATCTCGTCACTTTTGCATTTGTATACGAAATATGTTCCTGCTGCAAACTTCAATCCTCCAAGAAGTGTCACCGTTAAGTGCTTCTGTTCAAGCTATAGTTAGGACATGATTATGAATTAAAAACATAGTATATAGTTATTGTAGCTCGAGCAGATTTGCTTATATAGTCTCTGCTAAAAGTGATGTGCGACGCTTTGTTGTCGTAGTGGACGAGTAGCTCCACGTCATAGACCAGGCTGCTCAAGAAAGCTTAATCTTTTTTGCCAATTTTTAAATTGTCAACTATGCTGGTATTTGATAATGAACTAGAAAAATTCCATCTATTCAAATTTTTTTCCTAGTCAAATTTTTCAACATTATGGCCTGGTTGGAATTTGTTATAAATCTGAAATAGTTCATATATCCGAATAAGTGATATTTTTTGTGTATTTCCTGACTTTCTGGTTCCTTTAAAATACCCAATATGATTCCAGGTACAAGAATTTCAGGTACCAGTCCATAAAAATGGCAAAAACATATAAGTAAACTTAGATATCACATTTTATTACCTTCATATAAAACCTTCCGATTTCAATAAAACTTTTAATAAAATTTTAATACGAAAACCTCATAAATAACATAATTTTTAGTGTTCATATTTTATACACAATTTTCGTTCTTATGAATAAAATAGTTTATCATAATTAGCCCACATTACATGTAACTAAGTATATAATTAAAAAATATATTTCAATGGTTGTAGCAGTGCGTAACAATATGTGTGTTAATAAGATATTATCTCTAACCGCAACACAGTCTACAGACACAGTTCACACGTTTTATTAACGAAGTTAAGTAATTCAATCCGGTAATGATATGAATGATCCACCGCAACTGTCAAGGAAATGATATAATTCAATGTTTTCCAAAAGGTCTTAACCGAGACTTTACATAATAAATACGAGTATT